GATCCCTTCACGGACGGAAGCATTCGCATTCGTCCACTTTATGCAACACCTAACGTCGTCATCGCTGGCCCAGGGATGGCGCAGGGATAGAGGAGAGGAGGGAGGGCGTGCTGTAGTGTTATTTTCGAATGCCCGAATGTGTGTGCGTGTGTGTGTTGTGTATGTATGCGATGTTACCGTAACCCGCGACGCGCAATGCCTCCGTCAAAAGTGCATGCGGTGGGCGGAGCGATGCAGGCGCACAGAGACGCAGAGCAATGTCTGCACTCTCCTGCGCCTATGTACTCTATCCGCGCCGTTGTTTACATTTTGGGCCGGGTAAACATCGGGTAAACAGCGCACGGCCGGGGCACATTTGTCACCACCACCCATCGCCAGCATCGTCGTCGTCGTCGTCGTGCTGTGTGGCAACGTCGTCGTCGTCGTTCGAGGCTATATGGCTCAGGTCAGCTCCCACTACCGTCTGTCTCGAGATTTCTGCATTTTTCTCTCATCGTCTACGTCTCTCTATCTCTCGGCGCATGCACTTGTCGTCAGTGTGTTTATGTGTTCTTTGGGGGGCTCGATCGGAGGCGTTTCCGTTGCACTTTTTCAGCCGTCTCTGTGTATGTGGTGCGTATGTGCGTGCGTATACATGTGTCTGTGAGTGTATGTGAGTGAGTGGGGGTTACTGCCACTACTTGTGTGTGAGTGTGCGTTACTCTCACGTCAGCCACCGTATTACGGCCGTCGTCCGCTCAGGATGCCCTCCAATCCCCTCAAGGCTCTTTTAACGGTAAATATCCTCTCTTTTACATTTTTCTAAGTACCTAGGCCCAGTAAGAGCCTTCGTTCCCCTCTAAACATAAAGTGCGCCTGAATACGTGAGCCTGTGTGTATGTTTGTCTGTCAGGGCGTCTCGGGCGTTAATGTCTCGGCTCCGCCCCGGTTAGCGCTTTTGTTGATTTTCTCCTCGCTTCCTTGCGCCACACTCACACACACATACACACGCATTCGCATTCATTCGTTCGCTTATTCCCCTCAAGGACCACGTGGTTCGTGGAATCCTTGACGTCATTTAATGTGTTTGTGTAATTGCAGAAATCCTCAAATCTACAGATCCCCATTAATCCCCGGATTTTGTTGTTGTTGTTGTTGTTGTTGTTGACGGTCTTGAATCCAATCAATGCTGTTATTTATTTGTTTATCGCTCGTACAGCATTCTTCTCCCCCAAACAACAAATAAACACGCCTTCAGTCTGTGTGCTAACCAATCCCTTCCTTGTTCTTGTTGGTGTTTTCGTTGCTTATCAGTCATCGAGGTGTTTATCGTCAGCCATTGACAACTAGCAAGCAAATTACTGATGCTGATTTTCATTTAGGAGGACTCATCCACTGTGCCAGTGACGTCGAGTATGCTGTCAGAGGCTCAGCGGCCTCCTGCTGATCCATCTGGTGCTACTGAAAATCTTCTAATGTTGGCCATTCAAGAACGTCTACAGAATCAATTTCGACCGAATAATACTCCCAACGGTCACCGCTGCAAATCTATTCAATCATCAAATGAATCTGAATCAGTCATGGGCTAGTCAGGATGTGAATCGGCTGTTTCAACAAATGCTCCCGTTGCTGGGCCTTCCACAACTTTTGCCCGGTCTACCTGGGCCTTTGGACCTGGGCTGCCTACCCGGCACTTCAATGACACATCCTTTGTGGCAGCATAATCTCTGTGCTTGGCCCGAATGTAATCATCCATGCGAGAATTTGGTCGTATTTCTGAATCATCTCTCACAAGCGCATACTTTCAATGAAAGGTTAGTCACCGATGATTTTATCATATCGATTTTTTTCTCGCATTCAAGCTTCCATATTGATTTGAAATTTTCGTGCTCGTAAACTCCTCATGTAACGTTTTTCGTTATGCACCCTTCAAAGCCGTTCAGAAGCTTAATTCTTCATTTTGATATAAAGTTATTCACATTTTTGTACTATTTTTCTTGCTTAATCTTGTGTGTGCCGTCGTTGATGCCAATAGTTGTTTACCGTTTTGTTTACATTACCGGCTGTTCACCTCGAAGAGTAGATAAGGCCCTCATTTGAGTCCCTCAGCTCAGGGGACACCATCATCACGTGTTTAATGACGATGTCAGTGTGACTATGACCCCCTACCCCAGAATTTCCTCATCTGGCAAGACCTTTTTCCGATCCTCCCACCATCTTCTTCCAATCTCCCAGTTTTCCACCATTTTCACCGGTTTTCCATGATTTTTCCAGTTCTTTCCAAAAAAGTTGTCGAGAGTGATAGGGCGGCGGGGTGGAGTTTATTGCGGGCATGAAACGGGAAAACCGAGAAACGTCAACAAGCTGAAGAAATTTTCCCGCAGCTCGGGAAAATTTCCCTATAAGACGATTACTGCCCCTCCCGAGCAACTAAGTACCTCCCCCACTCTACGGAATTCCCTCAACGATGATTTACCTCGATCCTGTAGCGCAAGGCAGCTAAAGAGAGGGGGTTGAACAATTCATGCGCTTCAATGGAATTAATGTATTTTTGCCCAGCTACGGGTCGGTGAACCGATATATTTTTCCATATAAGGGTCCCTTCTTATCGTAATCCAGTTTTCCGGGGTCATTCGAACGCTACCCACCTCCTTGAACTGCACGACATTCGCCAGTTTCTTTTCTTTGCATGAAGTACATCGTATCGTTACGAAAATTGCTCTCCATTTCGTCCAGTGCTGAATTCTAGAATGTTTTTCGTTACGTTCAGGAAAAAAGCCTGAAGAATGACAACTCATATTTTTGGATGTTTTTGAATGTTGTTCATAATGTAACTTCACCATTCCTCATACATGGTAATGGATTGTCGCAATCAGCTGTCATTAGCGCTGTACCGCTACGTTCATGATATAGCTCTCAAGCCCTTAAGTTCCGTTTTTACTTCTCTTTTCGTTTTTCTAGCCAGGTCAAAGTCTTGCTTAGAAAAAGTGTTCTGTAAATTTAATAATATTCGAATGTGCGAGCTTCTGACGAAGGCGCAGCAGGTATCTTTTTCGGTTGGGAGGATGGGGAGGGGGCAAGAAGGGGCAGCGGGTGTTCTGCTAATTGAGCAGTATCTGCTGGTTAGTATACCCCAGGCTCGTAGTTTTACATATCTAACAGTTGATCGGATGTCCTGTCCATTCCCTCCCCCCTGACTGATGTTGGAGGGTAAGGGCATTGGAAAGAATTTTTAAAACTTCCTCAATTACACTATGATTTTTCCCGCTTGGCCGTCATAAGACGAGCAGAAAATGTCAATGTTTTGATATATTGGAGTGGAAAAATTGTCGTGATGACGTCACCTATGTAATTTTTTGTGAATGTTTAGTTTGTGGGAGCAGTGGTCATTTGGGCCTGGAAAACTCGTCCTAAACGTGTCAGGACATGTGTAACATCTCTAATACAACTGTCAATGAGTTATTCAGATGACATATCCTAACAAGTAAAGAAATGTT